GCTGAAGGTCATGTTGGTTGGACAGGGCTCCCCCGGATGCTGAGATATGGCCATGCTGCCCCCGAAACTGGAGCCATAAACTGTCACTTTGCCAAGCTGGGAGGTCCCCTGGGTTCCTTGCCCCACCCAGGCAATGCAATAGCACAAGGTATTCCACAGCCCGAAGTGTGGCCAGAACTGCAGCTCGGCACCCCAGGCAGGACCTTGGAAGCGTGCGGGAGCTGGTGGGTATGGGTCTCTTGGGCTGCCTGGCCATCGGTGGCACACAGATCGAGTCACAGCAGGGACCCAGTTTCACTGCTGCCTGGCCCAGCTGTCTGTAGGGCTGGATGGAGGTGCTGTTTTTCTTGCGATCCGCCCGGAGGTGGGCTGTTCCGGACTCATGCAGGCTGTGTGTGAGCCTGGTCCCCAACGTGATGCCCTCCCTCCCCCTCTAGGCTGTGTGATCTGCCACTGGCCGACCCCCTTTTCCATGCCTCAGCTTCCCCAGTGGCCGAGGGCTGTGGAGGATTAAAGGAGGTGACATCTGGGAGGTGTGTGGTGTGCAGCTTGTGAGGAGGGGCTCCGTGTTCTCTAATAATGGGGTGACATCGGCAGGAGACTTGGGGTGGACTGGATGCTGAGACCTTGTCTCAAAGGCAGTAGCAGCAACAATAAAACATAACAATGAGTTGCAGGAAGAGTACAGCAGGGGCCTGCGTGCCCTTTCTGTTTCCCCAGTGGCACGACCTTGCAGGACCTCGGGGCAGGTGTGGAGCCTGGGGCCTCTCAGGTTGTCGTTGCCTCTGTGCAGGAACCACAGTTGTCCCTGTCCATGTCTGTCCCTGCTCCTGGCAGCATCAGGCTCCCATGGTGGAGGGGACGGATGAGGACGCTGCAGAGGGCCCAGGCCCCGCGGGAACATGGCAGGCAAGGAACCGCTGCTACTCGAGGAGCTGGGCTGAGACTGCCAGATGAGGCTCTGCGGAAAGCAAGGGACTGTGCTTTGGGCTTGGTGATCAGAGTGTGCTGAGGTGTCTCTCCGGGCCGAGCCTATTTCTCTGCAGCCACCTGGTCACCAGGAAGGAGGAGACTGTCATTTGCCAAGCCTCTGGCACTACAGGACCTCCGCAGACACGGCCCCTCCCCTGTCTCCTCCATTGTTGCAGATGAGGAACTGGAATGGAGGAGGGGCAGCCATGGCAGGAGCACCCGGGGTGCGCCGCTGGGGCAGGCAGACAGGCTGTGAGCTTCGCCCCTCCAGAGAAGGGCCGGTCCTGGGGCTCGGCTGCACGGGGCAGAACGCCACAGCCCCTGCCAGCTGTGGGCAAAGCAGCTGTAAACAGACGCCCTCTACAGGGTGCAGGCCCAGAAGGCTTCCTGGGGGTGGACCTCCTGAGTGGTGCTCAGAGGTGGGCAGAGTGTATTCGGTGGCCGGGAACCAGGCTTTATTCATGAAACCCACATTTTCCCCACCATTTCACTGTGTGCGGTCATGCAACTGCTGGTGTCTCCCGTAGCCAGGCAGGGCCCATCCCCAGAATCTCACAGAGAGGACCCCAGGCTCACCTCCCGCAACCAGACCCCAGCCCTGACCGAGCTCTGACCACACAGCTCGGGTTTGAGCGTTCATCTCCACCCAGCACTGACCCCGGCACGTACTCTTGCCCTACACACCCCAAACCCAGCCCTAACCCTGGCTTTAGTCCTAATGCCTAGCCTGCACGCCAGCTCCAGCCCTTGGCCCAAGCCTGACCTTCAGTCTTGGCTCCAAGTGGCTCACTCTCTGGGCACCCTGCACCCTGCACCCGTTCCACCTACACGGCCCATCTGAGATGCTGACTGTGGCTGTGGAGCCTGTGTGCCAAGGAGCCCTGGCCCAAGGGCCTCAAGTCTGGGGATGGGCACTGTACCAGGAAGACAGGGTCTGCGATGTGACACCTGGGCTGGCATAGAGCAGGCACTGGCACCTTTCATTACAGAGTGAGAAAGGATCCTGGCACTGCCACGCAGGGCGGGGAAGACCGGACATGAATTGAGATGCTGGCAACAGAAAGGAGTGACCACTGAGGCCCAGCTTCCCTCAGGCAGAGTCACGTTCCTTGTCCGTCTATCCCTCATTGGCGTGGGCCATCTGGGTAGAATTCCTGAGGTTGGCATGGCTGTTGGGCTTGGCTGGGTGGGAGTGGGAGGGGAACCTCAACTTGGCTGGACCCTGGAACCCCACCTACATTCTAGGGTGTTCTTCCACCCAGATCAAAGTTCCCATAGCCACCCACATTAATGCTGGCTCCCGGGCGGCATGTCGTTTCCGAGACTATTGGCTGTGCACCCGCATAGGCCTGGCCCCTTCTTGCTCCAGCCCCTCCGCAGCAGCTCCTTTAGGAGACCCAGGTGGCAAGCGGCCTGCACGGCTTCCAGGCTCAGGACTCTGTCCCAGCTCTGTGCCTGCCGAGTGGGTGGTTTTGGCAAAACACTTTGCACTCCGCTTGTCTCTCCATTTGTGGAACAGGGATCAGGAAAAGAGCTTTCTCAGGGGCTCCTGGGCACAGGAAGGGGTACAAGAGGAACCCTGTAAACAGTTCCCGACACAGACTCTTGGGCCTTGGGTCCTGGGGAGCCAGACACCAAGGTGCAGAGGGATGTTTGCAGAGCCAGGTGGGGAGCCCAGGTAGCCTGGCCCATGTTGAGGTCCCTCCTGCCTCCACAGCACAGTGAAGGTAGGGTGGGGCTGCCACCGCCCAGCTCCAGTCCCCTGGTTGGCTGCCTGTTCAGACCCAGGCAGGGGTAATCCCAGACTCCCATGCCTGGGGACCCTAACTCCCATTCTTTTTTTTTTTTTTTTTGCCTTTTTCCTTTTTATCGGTATCAGGGATCCAACTCATGACTGCCTGCTTGCAAGGCAGGCGCTTATGCCGCTGAGCTAAATCCCCAGCCCCCTAACTCCCATTCTGTTTCCTGGGCTGGGTTGGTTCCAGCAGAGCAATTCTGCCCCCCACCCCCGACATGGAGAGGGGGTACCATGTCATCCTGGTGGAGGGAGGTGACAGTGAGGTGATACGTGTGGCTGGGGTGGGGGAAGCGCCCTGTGTGACTTCAGTGCCTCCCTTGTTTTTAAGGGTGAAATCACCTCCATGCTTTCCTGCAGGGAGCCTGACCCTGGGGACATGGAATAGGACACAATCTCCACCAGCTAGGACAGTACCTGGAGCCAGGGTCAGGGTCGGGCGGTGGCTGGGATTCGGGGCCTATGACAGGGTGCTGTGTCCATGTGGGGCCCTTCCTGCAGGCTGAGAGCTGAGTGCTGAGCAGAGGGGAGTCCAGAGGTGTGGAAGAGGGACCCAGCCTCTGCAGAGGCTGAGCCTGGGGTGGTTACCAGGAAGAGGGTGGACACGCTGGCCAGAGGTTGTCCAGACCCTTGCTCAGGCATCCTCCCTGGCCGTGGTGCTGGCCCACATGGCAGGAGTTCCCAGATGAGCTCAGCCTCCCAGGGGCCAGCCTCCAAGCCCAGCAGCCCACAGCAGCCCAGGAGAGTGCCTGCCGGGATGGGAGCACCGTCCCCCTGGAGGCCTTGGAGCCGAGCCTAGACCCTGGCTAACTGAGTGCTGATTTCATCTTGGATGGTGCTGGATAAAACCGACTTTGAGGTTCCTTCCAGCTGTCACTTTCCAGCTCTGCAAAAGCCTCTCTGGGGACGGCGAGACCACATAAAATATAAATCAATAGGTTAAAAATACCCTTGTCTCCTGCCCGTCCAGGCCCTGTCACTCCACCTGCCTCCTCCTTCAGAAGCTTTGCCTTTGACTTCCGCAAGCTGGGAGCAGGAAGAGAAAATCACTTTGTTCCCGAACAAGGCAGCGCCACCTCGCCTCGACTGACAAGGCCTTGCCGTGTTCTTTTTAATCATTCCTGCTTCTCAGCGGGGCACTGTCCCGTCTCCGCTGACAGCCTCTGCTCCTGTCTTCTGGCTCTAATTGCCGGGGAAAGGGCGACCCCGAGCAGCCAGGATGCAGACCCCTAAGGGCACACCTCCAGCCTGAGCACTAAGCAACTTCTGCCCTCACGGAGAAGCCAGAGGGGGTGGAGATGGCTGGTGTGGTGACCCCAAATTAACCAGGCTAACGGCCACACTGGGAGCCTGAGAGGCGTCTGGGTTTACCTCCGAGGGTTCCTATGGCAACGGGACTGTTAGGAACCGCTAACTCAGAGTGGCAGAGGGTGAAATGGAATTTGATGTACCCGAGAATTCAGCAGCTAGGGAAGTAATTGGGGATCAATCTCTTTTTCCCACTGGGGCCAACGAATTCTCGTTGGCTTTATTTATTTATTTATTTGCGTTCACGCGTTGCTTTTGGGGAATGTCGGAGTGGTCTGAACACATTTATTTTCATTTTCTAAGCAGTTGCATTTCTGCTCTGCTTTGATGCGTGGAGTGCCGTGCGCACATGGGCGTGGAATAGTTTAACAACAAGATAGCTCCTGTGTGCCGTGGAGGATATATGGAGCCCCGAGGGCCGTCTGGGCTACCTCACCCGCCTCCCCACCCTGGCATCTAGGCTGAGCTGTCGGCCTCCACTGGGGAAGAGCAGCAGTAGCCCAGGGCTCAGGGACCTGTTCCCGGCCAGCTGGCAGCCTCAGCAGCTGCTCTGCCTCCGCTTGTGGGGTGCAGGGGCCCGCAGGTGGGCACACCCCAAGGCACCCTTGGGTGTGCACGCCGGGTCTGTCATCTCCCCTCCCTGTGGACAGACTGAGATTGTCTGGGGCTGTGTTTGAATGGTTCCTGTTGAGTGGCAGCTGCCGGGAGGCTCTTCCAGGATTTTGCTGTCCCCAGAGTCATTCTGAGGCGGCCACTCGACCTTTCTGAGCACAAACACACTCTGCATCTGAGTGTGATGCCCAAGGCCCCCGGATGGCTGCTACTGGAGAGTCCCCAGGCTAGGGCCAGGGGTTGGTTTTGGTGTCCATCTTGGGGAGCCTCAGAACCCACTGATACCCACTTTTTCTTTTCTGTCAACCCACAGGTGATCTTGATCCTGACGAAGTACTACCACGCAGACATGGGGAAGGTTCTGGAAAGTTCGCTGTGGCGGTAAGTCGGACTAGTGGTGACCTTGCTGCTGTACCTGTGCGCGCCTTGGGGCTCCTGGTTGGGGACAAAGGTCCAGTGCCCGGCTGTCCCAGCTTCCATGGTTTGGTGGCCTCACAACTTTCCTGCATCTGGAAAATGCGTGGAGAAGTCAAAAGCAGACGAGGAGTTTGGTTAACGGGCGCCAGCGTCCCTGGCGGATGACTCTGTTCCTGGGCTTCTGTGCTTGCTCTTCCTCTTTCTGTTGGTTTCCCTTCCTTTTGTTTCCCCGTTGGAGGAGAAGGGTTCAGATCATGAATTCAGGTCAGTGCCTGATCTCCCCTGTGAGCTCATGCAGCCCTGGGGCGCCTGCTGGCCTCATTGTTGAGATATTTCTTTCTCCCAGGCTCCTGAGCGGAAGAGATCCTTGGTAAATAAATAGCCCAGTGAATGCAGGGCTATCTCTTTATGTCGGGGTGAATTGGGCCTCCTCTGGTGTGTGACCTCAGAGGGAGAGGTTTCTGTGACTGCCACCTTGAGCCCACTTTGCCTTTGTGTGGGGAGTGTGGGCTCAGTTCTGTTCTCCCATATGGATTCTGCTGCTTCTCCACCTGTGGTTCCCTGGGCAGAGCCATTTGGGCCTCCAGTGGTCTTTCTTGAGTAAAATCCATTAATTTTTGCCATTTTCCTTTTTGAAGAACATGTGCCATCAGGATTTCCGATTCCCCAGGGTGCAGCTTGGGGTAGGGTTGCTCTTGGCTCTTGGCTTTGCTTTTAGCACAGGGGCCTGGGGTCCACTCTGTGGGTCACTCGTGGAACTGTCACTGGGCTGCTTCGAGAAGCTGTCCAAATGGTGCCTGGCATTGGATCCTTGCTGCGTAAGGAACGGTATCTCTCTGAGCCACCGATGTCTGGACACCTGTGGTGCTAACGTGGCCACTGCTGCTTCCTGGGTCCCTGCCCCCAGACTATGACTTCACCCCCAGTCCAGCTGTAACCTCCAGTTCCATCACCATCACCAGGAAGAGGGGCTGGCCACAGCCCAGTGCACAGGATATGCAGGGCTTTGTGACCCAGAGACTCGTGTTTCCACTCCAGACTTGGGTGCAGCCCCTCACTGCTACCTGACGAGACAGAGATAAATTCCAGTGAGACCTCTTCTGCTTCTCTTTGGGGATTTACATTTGAGGGTTGGTTTCAGGGTCACAGCTCCTGGGGGAGAGGGAATGTTCCCTCGCTGTTCGGCAGACGGTGGATGGACAGAGGGTGGCCCCCTTGGCTGTCAGTGGACAAGGGTGGCTTGGTCTCATCCTCCCAGGGAAACCTCTCAGCTGCCTCATTTACCTGACTCGATGCTGGGGTCAGGACTGAAAGTGCCTCCGGGGTGCTGGGGCTGTGCTGGGGCCTGGGGCTGAGGAAACGAGACCACCGAATACTGCTTGGGCGTAAGGGCTCCTTCCGGCTGTGTCCTGCATCTGCACCAGTAGATTTCTGGGTACCATTCACATTTGCTGTGGATTCTCATCGGGTAGGTGACTGAGCATGGTGGCCCTCTACCCTGGGCCTCGGGCTCTGTATAGAGACACCAGGTGGGGAAGCCCAGGGGCTGGGCAGCTCCTCCTCCCAGAGCCTCAGTCTCCTAATCAAAAAAGGGGCATGCAATGATCCCAAGAGCAGGTTGTACAGATGGAGGGTGTGAGATAGAACACAAAACAGCCCTAGCTCGGTGCGTGGTCTAAATTTAGTTTCTTTTCCCCAAAGCAAATCAGCCAGCTTTTAACTTTCCTTGTCCCTTCCCTCGTCACCATCTCTACACCCAGACGTTTCCTGCCTTTATTAAAAATGCACGCAGAAACATTAGTCATTTCAAGAAGCTTCTCCCATGGTCCCTCCCACCAGGCAATCACTGTCTTTGTTTGTGTTCTCTTTTTATGCTGACATCCCTCCAGCCTGCAGACGCAGAAGGAAGTTTTGCGCTCTGTTTTTTCCACTTGTAAATCACATTTCAGGTCCCTGCTGGCACATGGCTGGGCCATCATCTCTCTCACGCTGCACACAAGTCCCTGGAGCTGATTCGCCCTAACGCGCAGCCATCCCAGTATTGGTGCTGCCATAAACGACTCAGGCTTGTAGTTTTCCTTTTTGTTTTGTTCCCTGGGGTGGATCTTGGGGTGCCGTGTTACTGAGCCCGAGAGGCCACCTTGCCGGTGGGCCTGCTGGAAACCCGCCTTCTCCTTCGGGCGGACTCCTGCTCCCCCGTACTCCCTCCAAGCAGGGCTCCCCAGCCCCGAATCCTGTCTCCTGAGAACAGAAGCCATCTACAACTTGCTAAATGTGTTGCTCTTCTAACCATGGGGCCTGGTTCCTAGAGAGGACTGCGGTTTCCATTTACTCAGGGACACTTTCTCTTTCGGGTGCCTCTGCCTGTGTGATATCTGCCCTCCTACTTTGGGACCGGATGAAGAGTGGATGGGCCGTAGCCTGCCCCCTCTGGGTTTGAGGTCCACGGGGATGGAAGGTTCCAGATGCCCTTGTGTGGAGCACACATATTATGCGGGGCTGTTAAAGACAAGCTACCGAATGCGCACTGGGCTGCCCACGAATTCGGTGCAATCACGGTAAATGCATGTTTAACGGCAGGGGTGGTATTCACATTCTGGAGATGGCTCTGCAAATCCAAGCCGAATACACCACCACCAGCATCCCTGCTCGGCCTCCTTCACCCCTGTGCTGCCCTTCCTTCCTGCAGGGAACCCTTCTGCTCAGGGTCGGGGCCCCTTCAAATCAGGGCAAGACATTGGGCTGTGGAGGGAACCCAGTCTCCCTCTAAACCCAGGTTGGCACCAGGGATCGAAGTCACCTCCTGTTGGGGACTGTGGTAGAGACTTTGTGAAGACTAGGGCTGGTCCTGGAGCCCACTGGCTTTCACATGTGATGTCTGCATACAATGGCGGTGAGGTCAAGGCCACTATAATAGGTGACCACCAGCTGGGGGCTTAAAACAGCACAAATGCATCCTCTCATTGTCCTGGAGGCTGGAGTTCAGGTAAAAGTGTCCCGGATAGCACCTGCTCTGAAGCAGGACACTTCCTGTCCCTGAAGCTCCTGGCTCCTAGCTCCCTGTGGCCTTCTCCCTGTGTGTCTGTTCTTTGAGTGTCCCCAGACTACACTGGCCACTGGACTTGGGGATGATGTCATCCTGAGATCCATAACTCAGTCATCAATCATGCCTGCAAAGATGGCTTTCCCAAATAAGGTCACAGGCTCTGGGGTTCTTGACGGGGACCTCTTCTGAGCGCCGTGGTTTAGCTGACCACACAGTCCATCTTGAAAGGCTGAGACCATCGGAACCAGTGTCCTCAGTGGCCCTGTACCTGTTCCCATCTCTCTGACCCCCCGCACGCCCCTCTACCTCTTTACCTGCAGCTCACCTCCCTGCTGCCTGTCTGCTTGCCCAGCTCTAGGGGTGAGCTGGACCCCGACAGAGCCAGTGCCCAGCCCCTTAGGCTGGGCCTGCCCAAGTCCTCCACTTAGTCTGGACTTTTTGTTGTCCCCCCGCCCCAGGAGTGTCTGTGTGGCTGTGTTCCCTGCACGTGTGTGCATCCTGCACAGCGGTGTCCTGTCCGTGGCAGTGTCACTGCTTTGAAACTCACGTAATGTGGTATGCGATGAATTCTGACTTGAAAATATCCCCGTGCTCATTTGCTGGGTATTCCACGTGCACGTTCAGTCTTGTTGGTGCTGATGGCCCTGTGCCCTGGTAGCCTTTCCAGCCAAAGCAATTTGTTTGGCCCTTGTTCTGGGTGCTTGTGGGGCCTCCAGGAACCAATGAAGGGTGATTGACTAAGGTTCCCTGTACATCTTTCACTTCCTTCAAGAACCAGTGTCTACCCCTTGGGGGTGCTGTTGTCCCGGGTGAAAATATCTGGCAGGGGACAGGTCTCCAGGCCTCCTGCACGGACTCCCTGGGGTCTGCTGCCTGCACATTCTGGGTCTGCAGTGCGGCCTGAGGCTGCATTTAATAAACTCCAGGAGATGTAGGTGCCACCAGCCCTAAGCAGCGGCTGGCTAAGCTGGACCGGGCTGAGCTTGGTGTACACAGGCCCTGTGGGAGCTGAGGCTGCCTGCCCGGAGTGCACTGGCATGGCCCTCATGGTGGCTTCCTGTGCACAGACAACCTCAGCGGAAAACTCTTGTCTTCCAGCTGTCCCGCACTCAGCGTGAAGAGGGCACAGGTACCCTCTCTCTCTCTCGTCTCTCACCGAAGCGTGGCTGTTCTTGTCTGTGGCTCCCTCCCCCGCCTGCGCCCTGCACCACACAGCCTCAGCTGGCTGAGAATGGAGGGGACAGGTTCATCCCATTTATCACTGAGTGCCTGGGACCCCACAAAGAGCTGGCAGGAGGGGCGTATGTTGGGCATTGGATGGACAGATGGATGGATGGATGGATGGGTGATGGGCAGATAGATGGAAAGACAAATGGATGGATAGATGGGTAGATGGACAGGTGGATGGATGGGTGGGTGGATAGGTGGTTGGATGAATGGATGGACAGATGGGTGGATGAATGGTTGGATGAGTGGACAGGTGGATGGGTGAATGAATGGATGGACAGACGGATGGATGAGTGGATGGCTGGATGGGTAGGTGAAAAGATGCAGAAAGCTATGATGCAGGCTTGTGGGCTGCCTGAGAGCTTGCCCTGAGCATAGCTGTTGGGAAGCTGGATTTGAAATAAAGGGCGCCGTTATACAGCCCAGTTATCTCTGTGTCTGTGCCACTCCTGGCCCAGGTCAGCACTAAAGCTGTGCCAACCCCACCTTACCATGGACAGCTGTGCCCTGGGCAGGATCTTCAACTAGGGGTACAGAGGCATGGGGTGGGAAGGTCCAGCCTCCCTCGGGGTGACTTGGAACCCTAGCCTTTTGTTAGGGGCAGGGATGAACCTCTTTGATCCAGCCTCACTGTGCGCATGGCCCTTCAGGTATGCAGGAAGTACAGAGTGAGTTACAGCTCGGAGCTCAC